CATAGATCAAATCAAGTGTATAAACAGTTCTTGTAACAAACAAAGCGGGGCTGATTATTTAAATCAGCGAATTGCATAGGAAATAAGCGCTATGAAAGTTAATGTATTAAAGTAAAACCTGTAAAGTAATAATGGTAGATGAATAAATTTTATCAATTTGTCACCATCTATTTTCATCTAATGCATCACGTGTAGATGTAACTTTATTTTTTATTACATATAGTTATTATCTGCTTTCTTTTTTCTTTTTTCTTTCTTCTTTTACTGTCTTTCTGGAGTTAATGCATTGCATATACCCTCAAAAAATTCTAACAATGGTTTGGGCTTCCGCTTAAAAATTCTTATTTTCTTTGTTTTTTTTGATATACAGAATTTTCAATATTACCTTCTATATATTCATTATTTTTATTTTCACTTTAAGCAATTATTACAAAGCGATTCTCTATTTAGCAAACCTCGATTTAACTGGTTCTTAGTGAAAGTCTTAATTTACAAGTTTTGAGTCCAGAACGGTCTAATACGGTATAACGGTTTTTCTAATTTATCCTTCCCTAAAAAACACCTTTACAATGAATTTATGTTGTAGGTTCTTGTACAATAATTTTTAATAATGAGAGAAGAAGTTATAATAGTGGTCCTTGACCTAGAATTATTGAAGCGTGTGTGCTTTTGACAAAAAAAAAATAATTTGCTTTGGTGGAATAATAGGACGGGCAGACATTATTATCAAAATATTCTACAAATCAAATTTTCCATATATAAAATCATTCAACTCTTTCTTTAAAACTGATTTTAGAGGAACGATAAAAAAATTCATTAATGCAGACAGCATTAATTGCTTGTGATAAAAAGAAAAAAAGAAAAGAAATTTCGCACACATAATTTTGGTGAACTTGAGCTACAAAACGATGTTTTCATTTAATTGTTGTGCACGACTTTTATTTATAAATATTCGGATCATTCAATAATGTATATGTTGCAGTCTTAATTGTTTATATTTATAAAATTTTTTTAATTATTTCCAGAGGAATAATAGTCTCATATAAAAAAATATACATATAAATTATAATTACACTGCTTAGCTATAAAAAAATATACAACAAATAAGTAAAAATAAAAAAACAAATCTTATGAAAACCCTAAAATTTTAAACAAAAATCCTTTGAAAAATCTCTTGAAAAATGAATTGATTAATGATAGGGACATTAGTATGGTAATAATTGTAATAATTACAATATATTTCTATAAATGGAATATAAACTAAAGTAGAGAAATTGAAAGGATTACTTGTTAAAATTGAAGAATTTGAATCAAAATAACTTTTAGTTAATAAAATTTCAACAAAGCATTTTGATATAATGATTGGATAAGGCTTGAAATTTTCCAATATCCATTGATAAATACACAAATCAAATGAAAAAAGTTTCAAGTGTTCCAAGTTTTCATCATTGACATTAACATTTCTAACATTGGTTTCTCCAATTTTATAATGTTTTAAAATTTTTAGAAAAATATTTTCTGGACTTCCTTCAATTTGTTGAAATAAAAAATCTAGAACACAGGTGGTTTGCTTCAAATCCCCCCAACCTCCAATTATTTCAAACAAGCATTCCTCTAAAATGGAGGATTTATCTTTATTTCTAATTGATTGAAAAGATTCTATGATTATTCCACCAATCTCATTCAATCTGTCTTTAAAGGAACAAATTATATCAACCATTGCTGGTTTTGTTAACTTGAATCCTAGATTGATGAAAGGTTGTGATTGTGCAAGAATTGTTTCTAACATAGGATGTTCTGTATACAAGATTTGGAAAACCAAATCACTATAATCATAACAAATTGTCTCATAACCAATTTCTTTCCACATGTCAACTAATTCTGGGTGAGCAATAATTGCCTTAGACACCATTTTCAATGTTTCTGCATTTTCAAATGCATCAGTCATCTTATCAGGTTCTTCAAAAAATAGAGATGGTGGTGGTAATAGTGGTGGTTGAGATTTTTTTTTGAAATCAATAAAATTTTTATATGAAATTTTTGGTTTTCTTGGATTTGGGATGAATTTTTTGTCAAAAATCAAACCTCTAATCTTTTCATTTAATACATTATCTGCATTATCCCTATTCAAGGAACAAAACTTTTCAAGATCATTACCATTTAAACAAAAATCTCCATTCCATCTACGATTTCCTTCTGCTAATAATTTTTTATAGACATCTAGTGGTAAATCTGAACCCCACGGTTTTTCAAATTTACTATAATCAGATCTATACCTCCAATAGCATTTCTTAAGTACTTGAAGAAAATATTGCGACAATATCACACCGTTTCTCAAAGCACAATTTACCAAGTCAATACTAATGAAACTTGGTCCAAAATACACTGCGAAAAACAATGAATGTGCTTCTCCATAATTGTTAATTAGCCAATGGTATCTTGACACTGGATTTTTAGCGGTATTTAACCATGACTTATTTACTCTCATAAAAGATGCTGGGCATCTTGTATATTTAAAAATATCTACCAAAATATCCTCCATTTGTACACTTAATTAAATTACAAGTGTTATTTAATATAGATTGTTGCAAACAAAATTTACGCTTTGCTAATTAGCTAAATTAATTAATTAAATTTGAATTGGTACAACGACTTTTCTCGAATGTAAAAAAAATTTATAATTATAAATAGCTTATGTTCCGAAATTAATGCTTCATTATTCAAATATGAAGATAAATTTGTTTACAAGCTTTTATTCAATAAATGGTAACGATGGATGGTGTTTGTAATTATAATTTTTTTTAAAAAAAACCAAATTTCGTTTGTTGTAAGAACGAATTTTTACCAGCGTTAGCACCAAATTCTTTGGTGATAGTAGTAGTACAATGTCAAGCGAAATGAAAGATTTAAAATAGATAAATAAATAAATAAATAAATAAATAAATAAATATGATGGGAAATTTTTGAAGCTGTATGATTATAAGAATAACAGTAAACTGGCATTGTGAAAAAATATCAAATTTATATTAATATTATTCTAATGTGGCGGCGGCATTTACTTGATTTTTAGTGAAGTAGAAAAAGGAATTTATTAAACTGTCAATTAAGTAAATTAATGACCCAAAGAGTTGGAACATAATGGAATTCTCTCATTGGAGGTTTAAAATTCATAATGTCACAGATCAAATCAAGTTATAAACAAAGCGGTTAATTATCTACAATTTTTGTAACAAACAAAGCGGGGTTGATTATTAAAAATCGGCAAATTGCATAACTATTTGGGAAATAAGCGTTATGAAAGTTAAAGTAAAAACCTGTAAAGTAATAATGGATAAGAAAAACACATTTGATTTGAAAGTGTTCGTGCTTAAATAAAACAAGATTTTATCAATTTGTCACCATCTAATGCATCCCGTGTAAGTTTAGATGTAACTTTATTTTTTTAGTTATTATTTGCTTTCTTTTTTTCTTTCTTTTACTGTCTTTCTGGAGTTAATGCATTGCATATAGGGCCTTCCGCAACTATTGCTTAAAAATTCTTATTTTCTTTGTTTTTTTGATATACAGAATTTTCAATATTACCTTGTATATATTCATTATTTTTATTTTCACTTTAAGCAATTATAACAAAGCGATTCTCTATTTAGCAAACCTCGATTTAACTGATTCTTATTGAAAGTCTTAATTTACAAGTTTGAGAGTCCAGAACCGGTCTGATGCTGTATAACGGTTTTTCTAATTATAATTGCCGATTCATCTATTCTATCATTGCGTCCATGCTCGATAACGTATAACGTAAACCCAATAATTATATATTGGTTTAAAATTACCTTTTTCTTTTTCTTTCTTTAATGTATTGAGTGTAATTCCACATTATTGTTTGGTATTGTTTTACAGTTATGAATAGAACAAGAGCCAGCATTTGTTTCGGTCATAGTGTATTAAAATTTTTAAATATTCAAAATCAACTTAATTAAATTTTTATTTTTTATAAATTGTTTGATATAATCATATTCTCATACATGAATGATTTTGCCCATTGTTCCTTTATTATTATCATATGTGTGGAGAAACTCGGCGGCAAGCAAGTTGTATTTTAATTAATTTAATATATCCTAATATATCATTAAAAATCAGGATAAAGACAAGTTATTTCTACTAACCAGGATAAATATTTTTCCTCGAAAAACATTTCTAATACTAATATTAATTGTTGGAGTTGCAAATGGTTTTTTATAAAGAAAAAAAAAAACATTATTTGGCCTAGCTAGAGTTGTTGATTTTGCCCCAATTTGACGTGTAAAACTATTACATCAAATTCATTGCCAAAAGTAAAAAAACTTTGCTCGACTTGAGTCAAAACCTTTGAACCGACTTGAATAAAAAATCTTTTGCTTGGTTTAAATAACATATTTGAAATTTTCAATTCTATTTACAAAGTAAATATTAAATGTTATTTTTTCAATGTCTACACACATTAAACCCACTTTCTGAATCATGTGAGAAGTGACAAAAGCAATTTTATAAATAACCCTGCGACTTCTATTGAGAAAATTCATAGCTTAGTGAAGAATTAAAAAAAGGTTTGGTGAATATTCAGCAAGTCAAATTTTCAACAACATATAATTAAATGTCGTGTTGTGCCATTAAAAAAACATGTTTTTTAAGCAAGGTGATTGGCAAAATTGACTATTAATAATAATTATATTAATTATATATTGAATTTAAGAAATGCCAAAGTAAAAGCAACATAACTATTGAATATGGAAAAACTGCTTTTTGACAATTTGTGATATTCGATTATTGGAAACACGCAGACAAATATTGAGAATCACTTTAGGGTTCCAATACTTGGAGCATTATAGTCATTCTCACATTCCTTGCAAACAAAGGCTAATAATTAATCTGACCTAAATGCTCCAAGGACATATGATGCAATTGAATTTCAGAGAGTGAGTTTTGAAGTTTATTGAAATTGCACCTTATTTTCAAAGATACCGTTAAAGCCTCTTACCCTCTCAAACATGTTCGAAATTCTTTGCCAGTGAAAAAATTCTATGGTGTGCTTGCATGTTTACAGCAGGAAAATTTTATTAAATCTGATATCTAAGTTCAATATATCAGATTTAATATTATTCATTTTATTTTTGGAATGATTTTTAAGGAACTTACAACTTGCAATTCCACGGAATTGGGAAGAGAACCAAGTAGAGTCTTGTCCACTTGTACTTGGATGGGAACCCTTAAAAAAATTCAACAAAACACCAAGGGTTTATTTTCCAATTCTGCTAGATTTTTCATTTTTACTTGTCAGGACATTTGTTATTTCTCAATATCAATTTTAACATTAAAAAAAGAAAAACAGAATTATCCATTCCAGAAATGATTGTTAATACAAGAAAAAATCAATAACTTTGTTGAATCATTTACAAACTTATTAATGTATTTTAATGGAATGGTAATAATTATGCTAGTTATTTGGTATTTTTTCTTTGTTGACAAGATTTGTTAAAGATATTGCTAGTTTTCTGGCTTTGGAGTTGGATCTTGTAATTTTATATAATTGCTGTATTAATTCTATAGTTATATAGACACTGAATAAATCATCAAGTTATATTTTTTCAGATGAATTTTTTATCTTTGAGAATTCCTATATGTGTGTTCATTATTATCTTGATTGACTTAAAATATTTTATACAATATTGGACGGAACACCACCATTATTAATTGTATCAGAAACATATTTAATTAAAAAATTTTTTTTAAAATAATTAATAATTGTGATACTAATGATTTTGATGATTTTAATGGTATCCTGCCTGCACTTCACAATTCCAAAAATGTGATAATCTTCCCACATATGCCTTGAAGAATATAAATCTGGTCATCTTTTTTTTAGATTTTCCATGATTAGGAGTTCATTTGGTTAAATGCCTTTTGATTGTTTAATTTGAAGGAAGTTAGAAAGAAACATTTTTTCTTAATGCAACAAAAGTATTCTGTCAGTCAACAGATTCATATTGTTCATTATTAAAATTTTTGTTTCTCTTTAAATTTTTGATAGTTGTTGTCTTTGGTAAATTTGATTATCAAGTTTAATGATTATTGGAAAATTGCTTGTTCCTATTTTAGCTAATTTATCTGCCTTTTCATTCCATTTATTTCCTGGGTGTACTTTTACTTGATTAATTTAACCTTTAAATTAAAACAGTTTATTGTTGAAAGGATGACATGCCACAAAGAATTGTTTCTAATTTTTAAGAAGTTTCTTATTTTCATTTCATTATGTGTAAGATGTGTATATGTATTAATTGTTGTTTGACCATCAGTATATATATTTATTTTTGCATTCTCAGGACAAACTAAATAATTCAAGTAAAAAAAGCCATAATCGCAGTATGGGTTGAAGATGTCTAAATTTATTATTTTCGTTATTACTTTTCATATACCTATATATAATTTTATGTTTGTCCACTTTGTAGTTTTTTTAAATTATTTAATAATTATTTCACTGTGTTAAAGAACATGTTATAAAACTGGCTGGGTGTTAAGAGTAGTTTTCATAATTAATTATTTGAATATGTGACAAGTATAAATTATTAATAACAGAATTGTTCTTTGAGAAGGCATAAAACCAGACAAAATGAGTATAATATTTAACCTGATCAGCTTTAACCAAATGCAGTTTATTTAATTATATGCAACCACTACATCTATAAAAGAAAACTAGTTTTTGTTTAATAAATAGGTTTAGAAAGAAAATCATGATCTAAAATAGATTATTTTTGTAACAATCCTTCAAAATTTATGTAAAAGTAAACAGCATTTCCCTTAGACTGCCACATGTCATCATCCATTTCATCCATCATTTTTATGTAAATATCTGTAGCTGGTGTGCAAGAATAAGATCTTACAATTTCAATTGGTCTTTCTGAATGCCCTCATCATATTCCTGAGCAAACTCGCCAGAATCAATGTCATAGTGGAAATTTGAAATGTTACACTAATTTTTTATATTGTGCAACGTAGCTTTACAATACACGGCAAACATTCTGGCAATAAAAAGTAAGTGATAAACTGGATTTGAATTGGATCTGAACTTGATCTCCAATTTAGAGAGGTAACAACTATATACTGGTGAAGTTTCAGGAGCAATGAGTTCTGCATGACATTTCGTGTAACAACAAGCTTAGGTCAACACAAATCAATCATATTTTAGCCACATTCATGGACTTTAAAAAACACAATGTACAATACAAAACATAATAATACATAAATTATCACTGGGTTTGCAATTCCCACAGGTGTAATCTCAAGCCTAAGCTCATCAGGTTTTGTAGTATCATAGACCACTTCCAAAAATGGAATATCCAGAGTTACTTCATAGAAATTATCATTCTAGTAACACAAACACAATGTAATGATGTTGGATAAGCAAGGCAAATGAGCAAATAAAAGACCAACATACCTGTTCTTTTCATCTAGAGGTAGCCAAGTGTATATTTTGATGACACTGGAGTGAATGATAGTTAATTTATAACCCATATACCATTCACAGCCTTGTGAATCTTACATACTCCTATTGGGTACTGAGGAAATGGTCCAATCTGTGTCACATTTATGCTTACTTGCCAAAACTCCTCCAGAAATAAATCAGCAGAATTTCAGCAAGTTGATTGGTTGATCCAGAGATAGCAAAAACTCAAAATTGTCTCTATCAATCAGCTCCACTTCATATGCAAATAGACTTTCAAAAAAACAAATTAATCGGTTCTGCAAAATAATATGGCAAATATTAATCAAATGTGTAGATGGATAAATAAATATATGGACAAATAAAAGAAAAATTTTGTATGTTCATTGCATTCTATCCTTGGTGTTTCTTTAACCAAAGAACAAATAATTCTTACCTTGTTCTTTATTATAAATGTATGGTTAGAAAAAATAAACAAATCTTTACCTCTTATCTCCAAAAAGTTTCTTTCTTTCATCAATTTCTCCTCCAACTTGTCCAATTTCTTTCTTTTTCTTTCAATTCCTTTTCTGCATCTGCCAATCCCTTTCTTGCATCTTTTAATTCTTTTCTTATTGCAATTATGCATAATTTGGACCAATAATAAACGAGTTACAATTCTTGGCACATGACTTGGAATTTTATTTACAGAAAGGTTCTTTTGAACATATGTGACAAATAAGAATTAACTTTTAGAGTTGGTAAACACTAATTCCTACTACCCCAGCACATAAATTCAATCACCACTTTCATTGATAAAATGTTACGTGGGTTTTACAAAAATTGATAAATACATAAATACATGTAAATTTGTGGAACACGCAGTAATTGTCTCAACAAAAATAAAAGCAAGTTTTGAAGTTAAAGCCATAAACTATAAAACTTATCGGTAAACATATATAAAATTGTTATCCTAAGCAATTTTTGAATAAATGTTATTTGATTTAAAAAAAACATTATCAAATTTTATAAATTTTATTCTTTACTGATTAAACCAATCTTCAATTTATAATCATTAGCGACTCTTAAAAGTTCCTCTTGTTCGTTAATTTCATACAAGTTTAAAAGCGCAGTTAGTTCTTTTTTAGCAACATAAGCTTTAGCATCCGTCTCAACGGTAAACCACACGGAAGTTCTAACTGGTTCTCTACCATCAATTTTTAGTGTATAATTGAATCTACCTTCTCCTGCTTCGTTTGGAATGAAATGTATTTGTCCTATTTTGAATTTTAGACAGAATTCTTGAAGTATTACATGTGGTAGTTTGTCTGGATCCTCAGCGATTATTCTATCAATCCAAAGTTTGGATTGAGGTACTGTGCATTCTTTATCATGAATATTGAAATTGTCAACTCTGATTTTATGCGAGTCAATTAATTTATCCAAGTTAGGATTTCGTTTGAATTCTAGCTCCTTGACTAGCCGAACATCATATGGCCTGATACGTGTAAGATAGGCGACACATTTATCAGCCGACTCTCTCTCTGCTTCTTCAACATTATTATATGCACCAGATTTAAATTTTTTTCCGAGATATTTAAGTATGCAGATGAAGCACTTTGCTGGTTTGTTCTTTGTTTTTTTAATTTGTTCATTTTGTCCATCATCTTGTCCGTCAAGTTCAATTTGTTTATTTGGCTCATCAACATCCATTTTATCTTCTACTTTATTGAGCTTAGGTTGTGGTAGTGTGACTATAGTGTATTTAGGCTGATCTCCTATGATGATTTTTTGATGAAACGCGTTAAGAAAAGCCTGTGAAGAATATTTTACTTCTTCCATTTCAGTGGAAAACACATTATCTTCTATTTGAATTACGGCAATCAGAGTATCAAAAAGATGACTTTTTTTAATAGTTTCTATACATTGCAAAGCAACGTTTCTTTTGGCATTTCTTTTTTCCAATTTTAATTTATTCTTTTTTTCAGTTTGACACGTAAACACACGATTAAAGTATTCAAGTCTGCTCGATACGACATTCTTTACACGATCATACTCGACTTTATATTCTGGTGCTTGTGAGCTCTCCACTTCAGCATTTTTTTTTTCATGAAATTTATCCAAGAAAGCGACTGGATTGAAATCTTTCGAGCCTATTGTAAGCGCCTTCGACTTCTTTTTTATTTTCTCGATTTGCTCCAATAGCAACTTTGAAACATTGATTTCTTGACCTCTTGGACTAGTATCAACAAAGCCAGGGGTGATTTCTCGGTTAATAGCGAGTTTTAGTTTACTATGTTTTTCTTTAGTTTCTTTAGGCATTATGTTTATTTTCTTTATTATTTTTAAAGGTGGAATCAAAATAATTTTAACTATATTATGTGCGAGCGAATTTATTGTTATTGAAATAATATTTATTTTTTTTTTTATTTTTTTTTTTAAGACTCGTGTCACCCCACCAAACACGTATTTCACAAATAAAAAATTTTTAGCTCCCTCCCTAATACTAAGCGCGCACACACACATATATTAATATTGTTTATCTGCAATTGCAATGATATGTATATTAAAAAATTATTAATTGAATTGAAAAAATCGAGAATCAAAATTGTATATATTTTCATCATTTTCGAATAAATGGTGAGGAAAATTGTTGGGATCATTATGAACAAATGTTGGCAAACTTGTATCATGGTTAAATATCGAGTTATAATTAATTTGAAAATGTTGTTGTTGTTGATGCTGTTGCTGTAGGTCACTGATTGGCTCTTGATTATTATGTGGAATGATTATGCCAGAAGATTCAATTGGAGTAACAGCTGTTGCTGTTGCTGTTGTAGTCTTATTATTATTATAATAATTATTGCTGGAGGTGGCAGCAGTGGTGACAGTTATAGCAGATGTATTGACTGGTGTCATCATCACACTAGGCGGTGGTGATGCTGTTGTTGTTAACAATTTCGTTGCTGTTGTATTTGGATTCGATAGTTTAGGAAATACTGGACTAGTTTTTGGAGGAGTATTTGAAATTAAGTGTTTCCTGAACAACTCTAGATCAAACATGTTGACCACATTTTCATTACTGTTCATATTGATATTGCCATTGATATTTCCAATGCTGTTCATATTAACATGACTATTAACATTTATATTATTATTATTATTATTATTATTATTATTATTATTATTATTATTATTATTATTATTATTATTATTATTGTCATTTCTGCTACTGGTAATATTGCAATTATCATTATTGGATTTACACTTATTATCGCTATTATTAATGTGGTTGTGTACTTTGGTTTTATTAAATCTCGTATCGTTATCAATTTCTTCGTCACTACTGCTTTGTGTAAGATCGATGAAAATTGGACTATTTGATTTTTTGAATATTCTATTATTTGTAACATTGTTTTTAATATTCTTATTTTTAGCATGCTTATAATCATTGTCATCTGACTCATCATCTGAATCATTTTCATCTGAATTATCTGAATCAGCGTTGGGTGAATTTGACAAATTAGATGAATCTGAGCCTGGGCTTGAACCTGAGTCACCTTCAGATGAATTGTCTTCACTATCAGATGAATCAATTGTATAAATCTGTTTTTGTTGTTGTTTTAATTTCGTTTTTTTAGCTGGAGAAACTGAAGTAAGTGAAGCATCTTCTGTATCACTTTTATGAGATCTTTTTGATTTTGCCCAACTTCCATCAGCTTCAATAGTAACACATTCTTGCTCTACAGGTGTATTTGCTAATATATCGTTGAAAAAACTGTTTATTATGTATATATACACATACACATATACATATATATATAATAAAATATTAATTATTATTATTATTAAACAACCTCTAGCTTGATAAAAATTAATTGGTGCTTGTATCATTTACTTACCCATCAACTACAATTTCTTCCCATGAATCAAGTATTTTATGACATATTGGGCATGTCCAAGTAGGAGTCTGTTCATTCATCTTAAAATATGAGTAAACGTCAAAGCATTGAAGATGATTGCATTGGATTGATCTACATGGTAAATTAATTCTACTATGTGACAACTAATAAAATGAAAAATTTGCTATTTTAATAACAAACTATGAATTAAAAAAAAATTTTATTAATTAATTGTAATGTACCGTGTCCTTCAATGAAACTACACTCGAAGTTGCAACAACCTCAGAATCTTGACGTGATTTTTTAACTGTAAAAATATTAAAGTCAATGAATAAAAATTTATAAATGCCATATGTAATAAATACTTTTTTAAATATAAAGTTAAATTTCTTACTTTTCTCTAGAACAATTTCTTTTGAGATATACTTTCCATTTTTAATTCTATTAACAATCTCTTCTACCGTTACCTTTTTCACTAAATATAACATAAGTATATAATCCTAAAATGATGATAATGGTAATTAAATGTCAATAATGAAATAAAATTTTATCTTTAACAAATAAAAATATGATTTTACTTTTGAAGTATTTTCATAATGAAATTCAATCTTATTTTCACACGATGAATCTTTTTTGCAGAGCTCCGTTATATCTTGAGGATGAACTGTCCCAGGTCTATTCTTTAAACCTCTTAAATTCTAAAAATATAAATAAAAAAATAAAAAGACAAATAAATAAATGAAAAATCAATTGATATATGTTCCTACTTAATTTCATGAGATCTAATGTGATGATAATTACAGCATCAACATTTGTTTTGTTGACTTTAATCAGACAAAGATTTGGGAATTCAATCAACGCTTCTTGCCTGTTGGCATCATCTGAACAGCAAAATAATCGTAGTTGATAAATTCCATTCGATCTTTGTAATAATTGATGAATTAATAAATTGTAAAATAATGATGATAAATATTCTTTTATGATAATTTACCTTGTTTTCAATACTTCGACTTGACTTGGATCAAGACGAAAATTCAAATGAATAACATTTTTTTTCTCTGGAACAACTATTACATATACAAAAATACATGTAAATAAATAAATAAATATATTGATTGAACAAATTATTTAAAGTAAATTGTTCACCAGTGCAAATCCTTGTCGGTCCTAATTGTCCATTAATTATAATAAATGGAGATGTTTTAAATTTCAGGTTGCTGTTTGGGTTATGGCCTGTTGGGGCGGTAATGATTATTATTGTTGCTGTTATTATTATTATTATTATCTGATTGGAAGATAAATAACTAACTACCTGTTAAACCATTTCTAAAGCTGTAAAGAACATAAATAAATATTTAATGCAATTTTTCGATTTTAATTATTATTTGACAATTATGATAATAGCATTTACCTATCATTCATAATAGTATTAATATGATTATAATTATTAATATTATGACGACCAGAATTTGGTAAAATACAATCGAGTAATTGATTTCTTTTTTTACAATCGTTTGATAAAAATGTTGTTTTTAAATGATTTAATAAATTTTCAATTAAATTAGCTTTATTTCCTTGGGTTTTGATCTTGATCTGTTGAGCTGACGATGTATTAATTTCTCTGATACATTCTTGTAGTTCGGACTTTGTCAATTTTTCAATTAGTTTAATAGCTTGCTAATAACAATAAACAGAAATATAACCAGAAGATTGTATTTAATAATATATCTTGCATTTTACAAAATTATAAAGCTGTTACTTCAAAAATCTTTTCTTTCTTTTTTGTATTATACAAACAAGTAAAAACATAAAGGATTTATATTAACCTCATATCTAACTCTATCCATTATGAACAATTTAGTAATTAAAATAAAAAAGTATAAAATATAAAAAAGAAGTTTTTTTTTGATTTCTTTCGTCGGCAGTGTAACCAGCAAGTTGAAGTTTGATTTTGATCGACATTCGCAATTATCACATTTACATTTTAGTATTAGTATATGATCTTCGTGTTATATACATAAAAAGCTAAAGTATGTCATCATGTAAATACGACATTTTTAAATCACATTATTTAGTTATGTTACACACTATGTAGTTCAGATTTTTGTTATTTTCACCAATTATTATTGTTATAATTTAATTACAAATTTGGTCAGAAGACCGTTTTTCTCATTTGTGATAATTGAAATTCCACTGCTCAGTGTTGGCGATTGGACATTACACCATATATACCTTTTTGGTAATTTGGTTGCGCCAATGTACAGTATACTATTTTTGGTAATCTTAATCATCAAAAATACCAAAAAAGGTGTAGTAATTATTTTATGATCTACTTTGCAAAA